GAGTTCCATTTGAAGACTTTTTTATAGATGAGAAGTACTTACCTTCAGTTACTTAGTATTTTAGGGGTAAATACCTGTCTGACAAAAGTATGTGTAAAAATTGATTTTGAATTAGAACAATGGTCCTCAGAAAACCCACAAATCTGCAAAAGGATGAAAAAAGATTTAAATAACGAGGATGTTGCAATAGCCAGTCAAAGGCAAGAAATATTTTGAAATACTTTAAGATCCAACCTAAAAAAAAAACTGAACCAGTACTATAAAAGAATGCTTGGTCTACATTTATCTTTTAGCATGTGAGGAGTAGAGAGCTAATCAGAAAATATCCATCCATCCAGACTTCCGTCCGTCCGTTCATCCAGCAGTCTATGGGCGAAAGTCCATCACACTGAAAATAACTTTTGTAATGATATTTCTGGTAAGTAATTACTTTAAAAGCCTTAATTTATAGTGTTTATGTAGTTCTCTGAGAGTTTGGAATATTTGCTTTTTGCATTAAGATTTTTCGGTGTATGTGGATCTAAAAGTACCTTTATTTTTTTCATAATTGCTAAAGGGTTATGTAAAAGAGATGGAGACTGTAGTCAGTGGAAAAAGTACATTTTTTAGAGCTATTTTCAGATGTGGATTCATCCTCATTTGACATGGATTCAAGAACCTAAAAATGCTGATTAACTCTAAAAAAACAAAAAGTTTTCTTTTGGTCACATTTGGGAAGGAAATTGCAACACAGTGCAGCTACTGTGTGTTCCTCAAAGATGTTTTTTTTTTTTTTTAACAGAAAACATCAGCATTTCTAAAACAGAAACCAAACAGTTCTGACTAATCAAACTAGTCAGAACACATCAATTTCTGCTGAAATTGAATTTCTTCTCTTTCCATCATTTCAACTTACCACCGTAAATGTAGTAGTTGACTGATTAATTAAAACTCTTTATTTCTAATGAAAAAGAAGACATTTGGTCAAACAAACCAATATGTAGGAATCTGAAAGCATGTGACTACAAGGAGAAAAATGTTAATATTTTTATAATAAAAGAAAAAAGAATACAAAGTATGGTTTTATTTACACTGACAAAAATAGTGTGAAATAGTTTCCACTTGGAAGAAAGCAGATTACTTTATATTCTAAAATCTCCTGGGGGATAAATAACTGGGTTTGACAGCATAGTTTTGTCTCTTTACAACAGTTCTGGGCTGTTTTCTCATTGACTGTACAAGATGTAATTTGTTCTGAAATTAATTGGATCAATTTGATTATCAAATGGGGACAATCATCATATTTCAAATCAGTAAATTATATGTATTGCAACTCTCACAGGGGAAATTCACAAACAGAGCATAAACACTGAAACATATCTAATGTCTGTGCCTCACTGGGCAAACAAAACAGACCCATCACATCGCTTTCCTACTGTGGAAACAAAATATGTTAAACATGATAAATGAACTTAAAGGCAAAAAAATGGTAGCTTCTAAAATCAAATAGGCCTCCAGTCGGGTACTTTGACAGTGTAACTGTTACAGTCATTTTCTAGTAACAAGAAATTATTATTATCTTGTTACCTCTTGACTGCTGAATAAAAGCTGAAGGTGAGTGTAGACACTTCTTTGCAGGAAAGGTTTACTTGAGCCCAGTTAGCTCCAAGCATGCAGCCTCTGTGCTATCCTGGTCACATTCCTAAACTGCACATTCATGACTATATTTACATCAAGGCTGCAGCTCCCAGCAAACCTCCACCTGTCCTTATTTGTTCCAACAGATAATAACCAAAGTAACCGTTTAACCAAACTGCACTAGATAAGGTTTCTGGAGCTCTTAATTACTCCTTATAAAATTTTAATGTTTTTTTTTTTTTTATTAATTTATTTTGTGCTAAGTAAGACAACCCTTTTTACCGGATTGATCTAATTTAGAACTCAGTTAAATGGAGTAGGACTAAGATTAAAGTCTAGCAGATCCCTGTAGTTTCAGAATTTTATTTTACCGTTACATTTAAAAATGGACATAAAGTTTTCATAAAACTTTCTGTTTTCTTTAAGTAATCTGCAAACTGAACTCTAAAATAAAAAAAACAGAATTCTAATTTTTACTTTATTTCATTTAAAAACAAATGTTTAAAAAAATCCAATTTTCCTGCTGAAACACTGAGTTTTAAACAGTGAATAAAGATTTCTTCTACAAAACATAGGAGGAGTTAGAAGCTCTACCTCTTAGATCATCCTTCTCAGTTAAATTTAATAATCAGGGATGAAGGGTTTTTATTGGACAGGTCATCAACTTGGACATGACCTTAGTGCAGGAGTATAATCACCACAGATGAATTCAGCTGCTCTCGTTCAGACTGATTAAAAGGAAACAACAGCCAGCTTGGAGTTTGACAGATGGCACCTTGATGTGTTTTAGACCAGGAGGAGTAATGGCTTAGGATGATTCTCATATGATGAAAACAAAGGTCCTATAGAAAAACAGACAAACTAATGTTCTCAAAGCATTACATAATAGCAGTATGCATATATATATATATATATATATATATATATATATATATATATATATATATATATACATTATAATATATATGTTATTTGCAAATAAGCAAATTGAAAGTTAGAGAACAAGTAGGTTTGGAAATAGGAAGCTGTAACCTAACCCCATCTATATAAGCCATTTTCAGCAAATATGAGGGATTTTTAAACAATAAATATCATGAAAAAGCTCATAATTTGCAATACAGATGAGTAAAAGATTAAACTTGGAATGTGTTTGAAAGTTGAATGTTTTTACTGTGTAAATTTAAATATTCCATGATGCAATACCAAACATGGTATAAAGCAAACTTTATATATTTTTTTCTTCTTCAAACATTGATTGTATTTTTGGGGGGATTTTATGAGATGGACCAACACAAAGCATGGCATGGCCGGCAAAGGATAAATGGTTTTGTGCATATGTCGATCTCCTTTCACTAAAGGAGTAAAAAAAACAAAAACAGTTGGAGTTTAAAAAACTTCCCAAGTTAAGAGAAAGTGACATAGAAGTTGCAAACTTTAAACAGTCTGGGAAGAGCACATTTGAATTAATTTATTGCTAGAAACCATCCCCCCCAAACCAGGTGTTGTTATCACTGAAATGTGAACCGGCCATCAAACATGCAGTTTATTGCTGCAATGGAATGTCCAAAAATTAATGTTGCTCAAACTAAACAAACTGGCCAAGCACAGGAGAGGAAGCCCCTCAGGACAAGACAGTATCTGGCTACACCTCAAGGGTAAGGGACATTATTTTCAGGGCCCAAATATTTGTATCTTGACATAAAATGAGAATATTGTGACAGAATTAAAAGAAACCATTTACCTCAAATGAGAGAAAACAACAAAAACAAGAGGGTGTGTCCTCATATTAACTTTATGAAAGAAAAGTGAGGTGAAAGAACATAAGCATGGGAAATCATAATCCCAGTTTGCTAGAAGCTATATGTGGAAAAAGGAGCCTTGGTCAGTTGAGCTGTTTTAAAGAGCTAAGATAACTTTTTTAGACTAAATTAGAGTATCCATTAAAAAGGATCCATAAAAGGAAAGAGCTC